GGGCCTTCGGGAGGGAATGTAGCCCTGCTCACACCTTAATTTCATACTCTGGCCTTTAGAACTGTAATAGAATAAATTTCTGTTGTTTTAAGTGACCAGGTTTGTAGTAGTTTGTTATAGCAGCCACAGGAAACTAATACACTCATCTTTTATGGCTTGGCTCAGTTGTCTTTTGTTCCTGGAAGTCTCTCCATCGTGCCCAAGTCTGGGCAGGCTGCCCCCTTCCATGTGCCCATGCTATCCCTTACATCTGTCACTCTACTTGCCCCTGCTTATAATTATCTTTTGATGTGGCTGTTGCCATGACAGTGAGGATTCTGTGACAGTGGAGTTGTGCCTTATTAATGTTTCTCACCTGGTATAATAGCAGCTCGATACATGTTTGTTTTGCGCAAAATGAATTTTGCTCTCAAACTCTCTCATCTTTATTAAGTCCCTCACCAGCACATTGACCTAGGCTCTTAGCGCTTGTAGGGAGAATCATCGTGTCTGGCTTTTCATCTATAGGTACTTTTCCTCTTTCTGCACATGCTGCCCTGTTAAAATTTCTAAAATAGTATTCAGGCACTTGTCTACCCAGTGATTCTCAGTGGTTCCGCACCTCTTGCTTTCAAGTGCTTTCACCACCTGGTCCCAAAGTATGTTTCTAGCTTTGTCTGCCACCTTCCTCCTCTGTGAACTTCTGCACCAGGAAAACTAATCTATTCCTGTGTTTATAGAACATGCTTTACTAGAGTAAAACCTTTGCTAGAATTATGGATGACAGGAAAGCCCACTTCATTGTCGAAGTCTTAATTTCCATGCAGAGATTTCCATAATGTAATGTTCTACTCAGTGAAGAAAGTGATGAGTTTTAAATAGCAGACTTTTGCTCAAATTTACCTATATGGGTATAGGAAACTTTGTCTCCAAAAACTCTTTCTGGCCTTCCCTCTATTAAAAGCATAAAGTAGCATAGTGAGAAGGGCTTAGGAGCCCTGAGTGTGAATTCTGCATCAATTACTTGCTAGCTTTGTAACTTTGGACACTTGTTTAATTTCTCTAAACATCAGATTCTACATCTCTGAAGTGGAAATGGCAGTAAGACTTTATAAGGTTCTTGGGGATTGAATGCAGTCGTAGTAATTATTACTTAATGGGATTGGTGTGTGTGGGTGGGAAGTACCAAAATGGTACAATGAGCTTGACTTATTGACTTATTAATTGAGAAAGGATCAAATTATAAAAGCAGTGTTGGCTTGAATGAAGGGTGTGTTCTAATTGATTCTGTGTTTCTTAGGGGAAATCATTTCCACTGCTTAATTCTTTGCAGAATAACGGAACCACTGAGCATCAGGTGGAATCTTGCATAAGGAAAAAACTGGAGTCATTGTTAAAAGAATCTCAAATTCGAGACAAAGAAGATCCTGATAGTTTCACAGTGAGGGCACTACTGAAGGCCACGCATGAAGGCTTAAATGCACACCTGAAGCAGGTATATGATTCCCCTTTGTACTTGTCCTTTGACAGGAAAAAGAAAGCATATCATACTTCATTTCTGATCATTTGCCATTTGTAAAATGCTTCTCCAGTTTCTTCCATATCTATGAAAATCTATTGCGAAATGATATGAGAAATAGTTAAAGTTAGATGGGTGGGTGAGAATGACAGGAGGAAGCCTACTGACCCTGGACTGATCTTCTCCATGCATGCTCAGGTGAGCAAAGAACCTCAAGGCCGCTGACTATGGCATCTTCCCACATCTCCATGTTCGGTCAGCCTCCGTGCCCCATCGACATCCCTTCCCAATGTGTCTCCCATCTGTCTGCTTCTCTCTCCATGGCTGTGTCCCAGTCTAGGCCAGTGTCAACTCTCACCTAGACTTCTCTTGCCCTCTTCAATCTAATCTCCACTCCGCAATCAGTATGATTCTTTAAAAACGCAAATCTGATCATGCCACTCTACCGTTCAAAATTCTTTGGTGGCTTCCTATTATATTTGGGATAAATTACACTATTTAATCAGCCTTTTAAGGACCTGTATCATCGCATCCTTGCCTACCTCTCCAGTCTCAGATCTCTTCAGTTTCCCTGTCGCACCACCTTCCACTACTGTCATACCAGCCAGAACTGTCCGTATGCCTTGGTCTTCCTCACATCACATTTCCTCTGCCTGAAACACTCCATTCCTACATCCGTTCTAGCTAAGTCCTATGTCGTCTTTTAAATTCCGGCTCCAATGTGATATTCTAAATGAGTCTTGCCTTGACCCCTGGGTTGTGTTAGCTATCCCCTTTACATTATATCTTTTCTGAGGTTTTTAAAACACAATTGCAATTACTTTTGCTATGTCTGTCAATAGACTAGACTATATAGATTCTGGGAAGACAGGAAGCATGTCATTCTTGAGAATCATTGTCATGTTCTGACTTGTTAGTGCTTGGGACGTAATGAGACCTTCATAAATAGTTGTTGAACGAATGAATGGTTTGGGCTCTGCCTGACTCTTTTACTCTGCTTTCCAATACAAATCTCATAAATGGGCAAGGAGAAAGGATAGTGGTTTATTGGTGTTATCATTGCAGGACACTGAGGGTATTTATTCTGGACAAGGGAGATGCATGTGGTCACCGGCTCAGCTAATAGCAGACTTCTCTGCTATTACTGCCTGTCCTCTGTGGCTCAGGGCTTCCCAGGCAGGGGAAAGATCATATGGGGTGACCACGCTTTGGTCTAAGTGACCACTTAGCATTGGTGATTTCTCTCTAGACCCTATAGAGGTTCAGCGATTCAACCACGAGTTTTTCTCAGGTCTATTTACTTTCCAAACATAGGGTATCTAATTCAAAATGGTTTAAATAATGAAGAAAGATGTTGAGTTAGGTAAGTGGCAAGTTTATTTACAGGGTGGCTTTCAGGGAAGGCTTAATCCAGAGGGTCATCAGAGACCTATCTTTCTGCTCTAACTACCACATGATTGGTCTGGTTCCCTTTCCCTTGGTGGTTGCAAGGTGACTGCCTGTTTCTTAGTCCATGTCCAGAGAGGGTAAGATGGTATGTATGTCCCATCCAACAAATCAGAGTTTGTGCTGAGCTCTGGTTGGGCAGCCATGGCTTTGGGTACATGTCCTTCCTGGAACAATAATTTGGCAAGAGTATAGGATAATATTGGCTTGTTAATGTCAATGAGAACTTAACCCCTGGAACTGACTCTGAAACTGCATGTTATAGGGGATAGAATGAAATATTGAGGAGGCAACCAAAATGTCAGTTACAGCATCACTGCCCTTAGTTTATCATACAATTTTGAATTTTCTTAAAACTTTCTATAAATAGTTTCTTCTTCTCTTCCCTTCTTCTCCAGCCACTTATTTTCAAGCATACGAATGTCTGTAAAATTATATTCTATTAGTCCAGCTTGATATCTGCTGCTTATCTCAGTGAACTCTCATTAGCTAATTTGGGCCAATCATTTCTCTTTATGCTTTTGAAGAAGTCTTTCTTCTATCCTAACCATTCCAGTTGGGAAGGCAACAGCAGATCTTGAAGATTTTGGAGGAAACAAATCAAACCCATCTTTCTTTTGCTATCCATGGAAGAGATCCTAATGATAATTTCTCCATCAGGTAAAATGATAAGGGACCTCAAATTTCAGAGATGTAGTGGAACAAAGCTCATCCTCCTTCTTATTTTTTACTTTCTCTTAAATCTGTGTGATTGCAAGAATATATTAGACTTGTATAAAGTAAGGGAAGCCTGTGACTTTACTAAACTGGGCTGGAAAGTGTTGAGGTTTTTAATACTGCTGTTGTATACATTTTTAAAATATGGTTTGGGTTCGATGGGCAAGCAAAGACAAGTTACTGTTGAGATAAGTACATCTGTGTCAGATGCAAATGCATATTGAAATCCAAGGATGAGCATTTGCTGTGTGGTTCAGGGCAGCATGTCACTCTGGCCTTCTTCTTGGATCATTATTTAGCAATGCAGTACTGTGTTCTATTTCTGCTGTCTTTTCCTTGGAGAGCCCTGAAGAAAAATAAAGATCAAGTTCTCATCCTTTAAGCTGGAAGAACTTAGTCGACACAAGAAAGAGGCCTTCCTGCTTAAGAGTTCTTGAATCCACTCCTCTCTGTAAATACCAGTGGTGGCTTTCTGGATAGCTGTAATTATTCCCAAACTGGAATTTTCCAGCTCTCCTACTGTCCTGCCCCCTCCAGTCTCTCATTTATACCACTACCACAGTGATATTTCAAAAATGCGCATCTGACGATGTCATTCTCCTGTTTTAAACCATTTAAAGGACCTTCATAGTTTGGAGGGTGAAGTTCAAATTTTAAGATAGAGCCAAAAAGATTCTTTCTCCATGTTCTGGCCCTAGCTCTGACTCGTTTACCAATGCACAGATGCACAGGTACACACATACACACCCAACTTTCTTTGTTTCCTTGTTTTTAGCACTTGGCCTTTGTGTTTGCTGTTTCCTTGGCCATAGCACACTTCCCATTCATCATCTCATGTAGATAGTGTCTTACCCATCTTCCAGCTTCAGCTTGTGCATCATGTTCCTTGTAAGTCTTCCTTGATTTTCGAGTCTGGGTAGGTGGCCTTCCTGTGCTATCCCACAGTGCTCTGACCTTTCCCCATCATAGTCCCATTACAGTGTGTTGTAATCATTTGTGTCTACCATAAGGCTATAAGCCCAGTGGGTACAGAATCTGTGTCTCTCTTGTTTGCTCTCATCTTTGTGCATATGCCAAGTTCTTAGCACAGTCTTTGATCCATGAATTCAGCAAAAGACGTGGTGCTGATCCTCAAGGAGAGCTCAAGATGGAGAGGGAGATTTTATATTACCCTTCCCTATAAAGAGCAGGTGGGTAGGGGAGTGGGGTGAGCCCCCAGGGAGACTTAGAGCTACATAGAATCCCTGTTTGATCACCAACTAGCTTTGTAACTTTGGACATATTATTTAACGTCACAATATTTCAGGGTTTTTGTTTGTAAAATTGGAATTTTAATCATACTTATTGCCAAGGATGGTTATATATGTTAAATAAGAATATATATCATGCACTTAACAATCCTTGGGGCACAGGTAGGTGCCTACTAAACAGGATGACCATATATTTCAACTTGTGTGGGACAGCCCTGTTTTATACCTATTATCCCAGTGTAATTATTAAAAGTGCCCCATTTCACTCTTTAAAGGGTCCTGTTTGGGACAGTAAATGACATGATCCCCCTACCAATAGATGGGCTGTTAGAAGTAGAAAAGAACTCAGAGTTAATTGGTTCACTCCTCTCCCATTTCACAGACAAGAAAACTGAGGTCTAAGATAAGGGACTTGCTAAAGGACATGTAGCTACTTGGTGACAAAACTGGGTCTCTTAAATTGGAGAACAGTCTTACTTCTGTGACAACATCTGGCTACCTTCTTCATTCCAGGGTTTTTGAACAGTTAATAATCAGCTTTAATAGATCTGCAAAGGCAGTCAATATATATAAACATTCAACTAAAATTACCCTGTTCCCCCATCCCCCACTACCCCTTCAGCATTTTCTGAACTGCCTCTTTCCCCAACCAATTCTCAGGTTTTCTCACTCCCCACCCCAAATTGCATCTTCGATTAGTCTCTATGGATATATGTAGATGCCCTCCCTGGCCTTTTGACTTTAAGTGGTTTTGCTTACCCACATTTATTCCATTTATGTGGTTATCTCTGTTTCTTCTCTGTTTAGCTGGAAGTCTTGGGAGAGAGTGGCCTACTGGTCTTTCCTTAAACCTTGACATTAGTAGTGAACCTTCTAGTACATACTCTTAGGGGTGAATAAGAATCTAAACCCTTTAGTAGGGTGGCCTTTCTGTCACCTAATGAGAGAGAGGCTTGAACAAGGAGATCTCTAGGCAAGAAAATTAACTAATGTGAGGAAAAATTCAGAGGCTTACCAAACCACAGAGGGAATTATTTCAATGAACAGGTAAGCTTTGCTGTGGTTTACTTAAACAAAAACAATGTTAAGTACCTTCCTCATAAATATATTTGGATTTTATTTAATTTTAATGTTTTACATTCCCATATAGCAGTATTCAATCAATGTGATTACTTTTTTTTTTTTTTTTTTATGCAACAGAATTGGCTCTTAGTGACTTGGCCATTTTTCAAAATTAAATCTACTTTTAATAGAAGATAATTTTATCCTCACTCAAAGATTCAAAAGAAATACATTCTGCACTGTGGAGAGCCTTGTGAACAGGCACTGGATGGGCCTGCACAGCTGGGCGTTGTTGAGAGGCCTTGACCCCAGCTTTGAGAGGCTGCTGGCAGTTCTTGTCTCCTGGCTGGTGCCCCGGCCTTGCCACGCCAGTGTCCCCCTCTCTCGAGGCATACTCCTGTCTTTGGGGTAGTGGAGGGGTGGACCAAGAGGAGGTGAGCAGGACCTTTTGCTTCCTACCGAGAGGCAGAAGGAGAGAAGGTCCCCCTGCTACTCCACCAGAACAAAGGGAAAACCAAAAGCAAAGAAGCAAAATAGTTATATTATGCTTTGTTTACTCAGAATCCAGAGGTGAAGGAAAGTGGAAAGAAATCACATGGATGCTCCCTCATGACCAATTTTGGAAAACATAAGGTATGAATTAAGAGTGATAAATGTGCGTAATTCAATTAATTTAAATTAAATCTAGAAGGTAACAGGAGAATATCATCATGACCAAAAACTGAACAACCAAAATGTTCACGTTAAATAGGACTCCAGAAAAGGAAAAGGTTGACAATTAAACTGCTTTGAAATTTAGGAATCCTGTTCATCAAAATTATCAAAAAATAAGTAGTGTACTAGGAAAGAATATTTTCAATACATATATCCAACAAAAGTCTTGTATCCTGAATATATAAAGAATTTCTACAAATCAATAAAAAAGACAAGTATCCTAAATTTAGAAAAAAATGGGGGAGACAATAGACTTCAGTGGCACTTCACAAAAGAAGATAACCAAGTGGCTAATATGGAAAAGGTACCCGCCCTTATCAATCATTTGGAAAATGCAAATTAAAATGTTAATGAGATTCTGTACACATCTACCACATTATCAAACATAAAAAGACTGACAATACCAAGTGTTAGTGAGGATGTTGAGCAACTTGAACTCATACACTGCCAATGGGATTGTGCATTTGCAATAGTACAAATAGGAAATCGTTTAAATGTCTGTTAACAATAGAAGTAATAAAAAATTGTGGTATATTTAAATAAGGGAATATTTATCAGCAATGAAATTGACAAAATTACAACTATCTACGATAATATGATCTTTATAATTATGACATTGAGCAAAAGAAGCCAGACTCAAGAGAGTATATATAGTTTGATTCCATTTATATGAAGTTCAAAAACAGGCCAAAAAAATCTATAGGGTAAAGTCAGGCTAGTAGTTTGTTACCCTTGTGGAGAAAGTAATGACTGAATGAGAGAATCTGAAAGCTTTGGGGGGCAATAATATTCCATTTTCTCATTTGGGTGGTTTCATTTGTGGAAAGTCATCATGCTATGCACTTATGATTGTCATACTTTTCTAAATGTATGTTACTCTTAAATAAGAAGGTAAAATATATTTTATAAGTAATCTGTTTTAGGATGGTGAAATTTATGCTTAAGGTTTCTGTAAGGCCTTTTCTTGTACTTTAAGGGATGTTGTATATGGTATTTCCTGCCCCATCAGTAGGATAATTTATTATAAGGCTGGAAAAATAGTGATTATAGTAAAAAACTGAACAACCAAAATGTTCACCAATAAAGACTGGTTAAGTGAACCATGATTCATTCACATAATAGACAATTATGCAGCCACTAAAAAATGATCACTTTAAAGAGCTCAACATGCAAAACATTAAGTAAAAGAGAAGGATGAAAACTTGATTATATGGTACGTTAACCATGATAAGATGTGTCAAAACTGTATGTGAAGAAAATATGTCATCATTTCTCCAAGTATTATCCGACATTGGTGATTCGTTTTTTATTTCTTTTTGCATTTTAGGTTAATAAATAAACCTTAAAAGAGACAGATTTATTATTGTGACATCTCAAATTACTAATTATAAGTAGAATTAGAGAATATTTCATTTCTTGATTACACCTACTGATTTAAATTAAAATTATTTTCCAAACCTTTTAGGCAGTACTTTAGCTACTATAGAATTAGAATTTATTATGCCTCATGTCAAAAGGATAAATGTCCACAAGACTATTTATAGATTATTTTAATAAATATTAGTAGTATTTTTAATTGAAAGTTAATATTATATAGCTTAATGACATTTCGTGTCATCTCATTTAATCATCACAACAATAATAATCTTTTAAAATAGATGTTATTGTCCTGCCCTTTAAAAAACACAATAGGAAGCTAAAGAGGTTAGGTAGTACCAGTGTGATGAGAAGCCAAGATGGAACATGAGGTCATCAGATGCTAGGGTTCCTACATCATACACACTGAGGTTTGTGAGACATAAATAACTCTTGAGAAGGTTTCAGAGTAAATTGGCACCTCGCCGTGAGTGCAATAGAGTTAAGTGTATATGTGCCACTGGCATAGCTTGGTTTTTACTTGTTGAGTATAAGAAGGTGACATGGTCTTGTGGTAATGTGGGCATGGAGTTCCTTTCCTTTTTTGAAGCCATATTCCTCAGATGTACAAGGTCCTCTGTCCAAAGTTCTCACCTTTGTGGAAGCTGTATTTTTGGTGGCCTGCAATTACTAGGGTCCCTCCCCATCATTTGAAGTACGTGTTGAAGTATGTGTTGCCAAATATTGGGGTTATCTCCAGTGCAGTGGGGATGAAAATGTTTTTATGTCTAAAAGCTAATCAGTCCAGAAGGCACCAGATCTGCAGCCTTTCAGACTGAATCCTGTGGGTAACAGTTTTCATTTGGCTGCTAGAAATTAAAATGGATCAGACCTCTAAAGAGCAGTTTGATATGGATGATTATTTCAGTGCATACTAATCAAAAGTAGGAAAGGTAGTTATTCATTCGAGAAATTATGACTTGATTGTTTGAATCAAATCTGCCTTTTATAGGTCAATAGGAATAGTGAGCTTCCAATAAAGAGGACATTTTATTTCTTAGAATTATTTAAACAGACTTGACAAGATTGACACTACCCCTCATAGAGACCTTTGATATATAAACTAATAAGGCCTTTTTAAGACCTATATTTTGTGTGGCTTAGAAGTCAGTTTTAGATCATGAAACCCTCAATCTTGCCTCAATATTACAATTGGGCTATAAACATGCTTGTTATTAATGGTGAGACAAGCTGCAATATTTATCATTTTTCCCCTTCAATTTATTTTCCGTGTGTGTGTGTGTGTGTGTGAATTTTAAAGCCCAGTCCATTCTCTGTATGTTGTAGATGTACTTGGTATAGTGAGTTGTTAAATTAATGTGATTTTTCTGATAGAAAACCACAAAGTCACGGCCTAAATCTTATAATATTGATGATGAAGAGGACACACAGCAGCAGAATCCTGGCAAGGAGACTGGCCAGCTATATAGGTAAGAAAGCATCTCCATGATTCTTGCTCAGACTTCTTGAGCTTCTCCATCTCCATTAGCCTGACTGTTTTAGTTGTCTGTGTCTAGACAATCGGAAGACAAGGTAAAGTGCTCATTGCAGTGGGACCCATAAAGATCAGCCGGGTGTGAGATGATCGTACATGTAGGCGACTTAGATTGTGCCTAGTGCATAGTGAACTCTTAAGTGCTGGCTGTAGCAGTTATCAGATTGAAGGTATCTTCAGAGATGAGAGAGTGACACATGAACTTGTATGGAGGGCTCTCGTAGGAGACTAAAGGAGAAGACAGATGATAAGCACATGTTATGAACCAAGGATCTGAGATTAGCCAGGCTTCAAAATCTTATTCCTCCAACTTTACTGTGGGGCAACATAGGCTCCTCATTTGTATCTGTTTCTTAGGGTTGTTGTAAGGGTTAAAGGAATTAAACTACTTAGCCTGATAAGCCCTCCCCCAATTAACTAAGTGATCAAAAATATTAGCTGCTGTTTTCTTTGTTATTGCCAATAGAATTTGGGGTGAGTGAAATATTTTTAGAACCCAAATTGTGACACATGATCTGATGTAGGATTTTCCTACAGTTTATGCATTTATATAGTAAGTCTCGCAAAGGAATGTAAATTGTATCATAGACAAACACATGTACCTGCACACATGTGTGCCTGTGTATGCGTGCGCGCGCACGCGCGCACACACACACACACACACACACACACACACACACATACTTCCCCCACCCATATCCCTGTGTTTTTATTGAGAGACTGAAATTAAATGAAATTAGAAGCATAGAGGTCCTATAGGAATGGTGGCAGGATTTTATATTAGAATATCCATACATAAAATAGTAACTAATTATTAAGGGCAAAGGGATGTGTGTGGTACCCTACCTTAGGATATAGAAAATTTAATTTGTAGTTACACTAAAGAATATAAAAGGAATAGGATTACCTTCCAGGAGATCTCTGATGTGACTGTCTCAAATATTAAGTTTGGGAGAGCCTCAACTCTGAATTATACAGCCAGATAAGGGCCAGAATTTTAAGAAAGCCATGATAATCTTAACGTGTGCAAACAAGACATCACTACAGGTATTACATGAAATCGTGTTGCTATACTGCTCTTGAATTAGAGATTTGCCCGTAATAGGTATCAAGGCCTAAACATCTATGATGGTGTCCCTTGGTACTTCAATAAACTAATCCACTCCCAGGGTAAGGATTAAAAAGAGCTAACTTTATGCAAAATTTCTCTATATTCCAGGGTGTCTTGGAGTTTTACTTGTAATTTATAGATATGACCTTGCATTGATTTATAATCATTAGCCCTTACAACACCAGATTTTCACCAGTGGCTATAGAATTTCCTAATTATATGATGAAGAAAGAACGTGAACTCTTTATTCCCATTTATTTTATACCTGTCTATGTTCTTGTCTTCTTTCTTAGAAAAATGAATTGTTGGTGCATTTTAGCTTTAATTCTTTTATTGATTATACATATGTGTGTGTGTGTGTGTGTGTGTGTGTGTGTGTGTGTGTGTGTGTGTGTGTGTGTATATATCATGATGGTAAGGGACTTTGTCTAATTTGTTCACTGTTTATCTCCAATAGGTGCTCAATAAATATTCATTGAGTCAATAAATCTATATCAGCACTAATTTCAGAACATTTTTATCACATTAAAAAGAAACTACCATTAGCAGCCACTCTCCATCCTTTTCTCTCCAGTCTATGGCACCGAGTAATCTACTTTCTGTCTCTATAGTTTTGCCTTCTCTGGACATTACATGTAAATGAAATCATACAATATTTGTATCTTCTAAATACATGAGAAGAGACTGTGATTCTTGCTTAGTGGTGAATGAAACCATGCTTAGGATATTGTGGTGAAAAGAATGCTAAACCAGGAATCACACTTGGGTTCTACCCCTGGCTCCATTAGGAGCAGAGAGGGAAAGTGGAGTAACCAAAAGCCCAGACTTCTTCCAGCTCTAAAATGTCATGAGTCCCGGGTGTGTATTTCACAGGTTGGGTCGCCGAAGGAAAACCATGAAGCTCTGCCGAGAGCTCTCCGATTTGGTGGTGTATACAAACTCTGTGGCAGCACAGGACATTGTGGATGACGGTAAGGACTGAGTATTTTTTCTTCTGGATAAACATTCTTAAACTTCTTTGTTGATTGCTAATTAATCTGTTGCTAATCATATCATCAGCATACATTTCTGGAACTGGGTATAATCCAACTTGAGTTGCCAGGAAACTGATTGCCAGTACAATGCTTCTAGCTCACAGGGAGGGCTCTATTGATTACTGTGGATGCCTGATTGTCTGGAGGTCAGAGAAATAAATTTCCTACAGGGCAGAGGAGGACTTTATTATTATATAAAAGACAAATTCATCAGACAGAGGTCTTTCTTAGTGCTTGAACTGTGGACACCATACCTGGTTTGATGGCCAGGTAAATAGATGGCCATTCCAAGTGGGAATGACCGGAAGAAGAAATGAACTGGCTTAAATATCACCTTGGAATGCCCCATAATTACTTATTGGAAATTTTTACTTTAATGAAAATAATTAACAAAAAGAGCTTTTTAACAAAAAGAGCAGAAATTTCGGAAGCATTGACTTTTTCACTGATTGTCACCTATCAGTTACCATATATTGAGTTGAGAAATTCTAGTCACAATTGTTATTACTCTGAGCTTTCCTGCTAGTTGCTCTTTTTTACCTTTGTCCTCTTCCCTTCTCATTTCTATTTTGTTCAATTAATTAATGTTTATAGAAATAACACTGTAGTCATGTGGCTTTTCGAGCTACTTTGAATTTTAGTAGAAGTTATATGTATATCAGAACCTCCCATTTTCTCAATAAGTCTTAATGAAGGAAAAACAACATAGTGGTGAGCCTTATGTCCTCACAAACCTCCAGGATTTTCCTTCAGATCTCTTTTTTCCCCCACTCCATGAGTATGTGTTTTTCTATCTGCAGACTTCCTTCTCTTTGGTGTTGGTTTCTTCTTCAAATGGTGACAAGTATAAAAATTTTTAATTAATTTCACATGTGAGAACATGATAAAATGTAGAAGTCTTAGCAGGTAAACAACACATTTTTAGAATAACTGCCCACAGCTAGAAAATAAACCTAGGGAGTGGTTTGGTATATTTGGTTTAGAGAAGTATAATTTCTAATAAATGTATTAGAAAATCATAATCCTTTTAGCTTAATGGAAAATAATATTGAGTATTATTTTAAAGCTCTTGAACTTCAGCTGTTTTTGTCTTTTGTGGGTTTTTTTTTTAGCCTTAAATGAACAATAGAAAATAAATGCATGGCTTATCTTAATGCAGAGCAACTCAACTTCATTAATATATTAATTGATATGTGCCTAATTAACAAGGTTATCTTAATGACAGTGGTATGCATATTTACATGGAGAGACAGAGCAAACAATGCTACTGATTACAGTGCTGCTATATCTGAATGTGGCTTTTCAAAAAGACTGTATTTTCTCCTATCATGTTCGAAGTATTCCTTATCAAAATCCTCAAATAAGATCATTTTTAGTACACTTGAGATATGCAAAATATGTTAATAAGTTATGTCAATAAAATATATAAGGAAAGAATTTATATGAAGCGAATCATCAGATTAAAAATAAATTTTCTAATTTCTTGCCTCTCACTTCTATTTAGGACTATTCCAAGTTCCAGCTCTACAATATAACTGTTAGGCATTTGGCCAGCATTTAATATCTAAGGCTATTCAATTCTGAAGACAACAGGGGCCCTGGGAGACTGTGTGCTCTAATAAACATGCACAGTCTTGATATAATTCAGGTCATTTGGCCCGGCTAGACTAGTTCTACTCCTTGGTTTCACAGGCCATATCCCACAGTCTGGGTTCAGACATACTCAGCTTGTCACAGCACACCAGTACACATTGGAATGAAAGTGAGGCTCTGGACAAGTTTAGCCTGACCTCTACCCTGACCTCTTCTAGCAGGTCTAGAAGACATATGGGTTGTTGTTTTGGGAATGGGGTGTGTATTTTTGCTGAAGGCATGGGATTGATGAGGTTATTATGCATACAATGAAAAAGGTAAGATTGGGAGAAAACGGTAGGATGTTAAATACCTGGAAGTTGACTCTATCATGACCCCAGTCTTATACTCCCTTTGCCCTGGATTGACCTCTTCTGACGATGGTCCAAGCAGAAAATTTAATATAGGCTTCTTGTTCTTTTACATCCCTTTATTTTTTTCCGTTGTTTACAAACCTAGGTTAGGTAGATGATTGTTCTTGCTTCCGAAGCTTTATTCTTTATAATGCTCTTTTGAACTCTTTATTATTATTCCTTTCTCCTAAACAGGTTTTGACTGATTCCATAGTTCTATTAAAACTAACTTTAAATCTCAATTTTTCTTGTTTTGAATTGGTTTTCTTTATTTTCTTGGACCCCAAATGCTATTAGTTAATATGTGTTTCACATGTTTGCTTTTTAGATGAATGCCTTCAATGAATGTCTCCCTGTTATCAGAACTAAGTTACCTAGATACTTTTATTTATCCATGACTGTCTGTATATTTGGTAAAGACATTCTATGTGAATTATGCACCTAAAAATAATTTTCCTGCCCACTCTGTTTATATTAGCCAGATAGACATAAATTAGTGAGATGGTTGAACTCTTGGGAAACATGGGACCTCTAAATAGGAGTTATCCTAGCACAGCTCTGATTTGGCCTCAAAATGGCAAAAGAGTCTCAAGAATAGAATTATGAGTCTTTCTTGGTCAGGAGCTGCTTCTACATGGGTTGGATTCACTCTTTTGCTCTGCCTTTTACTATGAGTATAAACTGACTTCTGTGAGTGGCGTTTTCTTTGCTGTAGTTCTCACTTGTCTTTTTTCTTTATTGAAAACTGCCAGGAACTACAGGAAATGTGTTATCATTCAGTGAAACACAGCTCACGAGGATTTACCCCTCGGCTTATCGCATCGATTCCAGTAACTTCAACCCTCTGCCCTATTGGAATGCAGGCTGCCAGTTAGGTGTGTATGTCTCCCTTGGGAAGGAGTGGTTCTCTATAGTCTTGAGTCTATGCTGATGTTTTGCCTAATTCTTTCAAACTTTGAACTTGCACAGTGGCACTGAACTACCAGTCTGAAGGGCGAATGATGCAGTTAAATCGAGCCAAATTCAAGACAAATGGCAATTGTGGCTACGTCCTCAAACCCCAGCAAATGTGCAAAGGTGTGTGTTAATTTCATAGTCATATACCTGAATGCAGGTGACCTCTTTCGAAGGAGCTCTCTGGAAAGTGCGATACCCCAGTGTTTTGCAACATGATTTTTTTTAAAAAGGGATAGGTTAAGGTGTTGGAATGTAAATTAAAACTCTTGTCGCACTATAATATTTAGAATGTTCTCTCCTGAGGTTACGCATGTGAAGAGGGACAGAGGTAACAATGGCTTGTCATCTGAAATCCAGTGCCTCAGCATGGTAGTCATCGGGCATCACTTATCTATTAGACTGTGTTCTAAGGTTCTGAGCCCTTCCTTTCAGAAACTCTTAAGAAGTGTGAGTCAGAAATCTGACAAAATTAAAATACCACCTGAAACAATTTTATCAAGCCTTTTAGTCAGTGTGGTCCAATTACAAAACAGTGCTAACAAAAAAGAAAAGCTAATGTAGTGTTAGATCAAAAAACACGTTCTTTTGGTTTTGCTCATTAAAATTCTTTTGAAATTTTCCAAATTGGATTTTTAACAATTGAGGCAAAAATGTGTTGACAGATGGGTCTTCAGGATTTTATGCTTTGCATGTTTTCTTGCTCTGCTATTTACTTAATTTCAGACCTTCTTTCTGTTTGTTATATTCACTGTATACCTGAGATAGTTTAGGTTAGAAATTATTCGGATCCGACATAACTGTTTACCTTTTCTATACTATTGACATTCAAGAAAATGTTCCTCTTCTTCCATGCGACAGTTGATACTTGCATTGTAGACACTTGCTTTAAATTGGCCCATTCTTCTGCCTTTGGTAAAATAAATTCTAACAAAAACCTCAGCTATAGAAATGCCAGCTGGCATCGGCTTCAGGCAGAAGTTACACTGATAGTTGTGCGATAATCTTTTTGCTCTAAGAAACACTGTAGTAACTCAGAATTCGTTGTTTCTTTGCTCTACAAATTTAAGCTGTATATGTGTGGGTACATGCACACATGTGTTTTTCCATGCCACCAGCCTTAGATTTTAATGTCTACTTTACTTGGCTTAGGTACTTTCAACCCTTTCACTGGTGATCCACTTCCTGCCAACCCCAAAAAGCAGCTCATCCTAAAAGTGATCAGTGGACAACAACTCCCTAAACCTCCAGACTCTGTGTTTGGAGACCGAGGAGAGGTAAGCCACGTACGACCAAGTGGGTAATTATGTGATTTTTTTTGTGTGTGTTTACATTTCATCTAAAATGTCAATTCTCTCTCTCTCTCTCTTTCTGTGTGTGTGTGTGTGTGTGTGTGTGTGTACATGCGCATGCGCACGCATAAGTTAGCACTGACCTTAGCTCACCAGATATTAACCAGCTTATTGGCAAAGCACACGCACGTCCTTCTGGATTGCAGTGCATCATCTATTTTGGAGACATGAGTGCATGTAATTTAATTCATTATGGCACTGGCAAGGCTGACATTGGGATGCAAATAACAATTTTGTTAATACAAACATTGCATAGGGGTGTGTCTTAACTTTCTATCCACATTCCTCATCCTTTCTGACCCCCATCTCTGCTGCATGCCAGCCACCTCCTCCTGGCCACATGCTAACTCTTGTCATCACTTGCTGCACCTCTATAGCATGATTTTAAAATGTCTACCTCTGTAACTATAGCTTCCTCTCTTTCCAGAGCTTTTCTTTCATTTTTCCCATTACACCTGATATTGGCCTCAGGTTTCTTCCTGCCTCTCAGCCCCTCCTGTGTTCACGTCCTTCTTCTCAGGAATGGCCCATCGCTTTAGACTCTTTGCCACTCACTCCCACCTGTTAAACCATCATTTCCAGGTCTTCCAGCTCTGCAGTTTGGCATCACCATAAACTCTTTGTCTCAACTTTCAACTGACCCGCAGTGTTGTGTTGCCATCCCAGCCTCATTTTATCAGCCTACTGTATATTTCCAGCCATATCTCTCCTCAGACATTTATTCTCATCACTTTCTTTCTCATCTTCAACAGATGGCACCATAGCCTACTCCTCAGAAAGTAGGAGCTTCAGATGGGACCATTTCTTCCATCTCTGTTGCCTCCAGCCTAATCCAAGCCACCATCATCTCATATCCGTCTGCAGTAGCCTCCCAGCTGACTGGTCACCCTGCTTCCATTCTGTTCTCCTGTTAACAGCAAGAGTAATTCATTTTGGCAGTACCAAAAAATTTATCCTCACCTCTTCCTCTTTTCTTTTCTCTTCCTTCTTTGTCTACAAAAGAAGACTCACTTTCTATATTTTCTCCCAAACTTTTTATTTTGAAACATTTTAAACCTCAGAAGAGTTTCAAGAATAGTCAAATGAACACCATATTTCCAGCACCTAGATTCACCAATCATTAAATTTTGTGACATTTGCTTTCTTTTTCTTTTATATGTATATGTGTATGTTTGAGTGTGTATATATGTATATACACACACATATACACATGAAAGAGAGAAAGCAAATGTCAAAATTTAATAGTTATATATACACACATATGTATTTATGCATTTTTCTTTGTAGTCATTTGATGGTAAGTTGTTGACATGATGACTCTTGACCCTAACTATTCAGCGTTTATCTCTTAAGAACAAGGACATTCTCTTGTAAAACCAAATATAACAATGACACTCATGACATTTAATATTGGTACAGTAGTATTATCTAATATAAAATCTATATGAGATTTTCCCCAATTGTTTCAAAATTGTCCTTATAGCTTCCTTTTTTCTTTTTGTATTCAGGACCCAATCAAGGATCACACATCGCTTTCAGTTGTCATTTCTCTTTGGTCTTTTAAAAAATCTAGAACAATTCTCCAGCTTTTTTGTTTTGTTTTCATGATACTGACGTTAAAAAAAAATGTCCAAAACAGTTAATTCTAGAATATCCTCCAATTTGGATTTGCCTGATTGTTTCTTCATGACTAGAATCAGAATAAATATATTCGGCAGGACTGTTACATGTTGTGCTCTTCTCGGTGCCTCTCATCAGGAGCCACACGATGTCATGTACCCTGCGATAAATAGTGCTATGTGAATAAGGGGGTTTCTTCCAGATGTTTTTCATTGTATGGGTATCTCTTTACCTTTGTAAGTAATACATAGTCTGATAGGGACTGTTTTTCTTTTGTAATGAAAATAACATCCAACCTCCTTATCCTGGCTTACAAAGTTCTTTATCAAGAAATTGTAACATTTTTTGAGCTATGGAACCCTTTGGTATCCAATGAGGCCCATGGATCCCTTTTCAGAATAATGTTTTTAAATACATAAAATAAAATAGGGCTACACAGGAAACCAATTATATTGAAATTTACTTATCAAAATATTAAAAACAGGCAAATATGTATATCTACTAATGCAATAAATAGCAGGATCTGTAAGTAGGTCTAATAACTTAGAATTTTAAGTCGTGATAAGAATAGATGCTACATGGAGATCTCTGTAACAATAATAATATGACATGAAAACATCTATGATTTCTCTCAGAAGCAAAATTACAGTACTAATACTCCTATACTGTGCTTTAGTCAAGCCTAATGAAAATAAATATAGTTTTTTACCCCATCCAGGCTCTCTGAAATCTCAGCCCATGATCTCTCATATTCATATTTCTGAGAATGAAATTACAATTTTTCTTGCTCCAGTAAGAAAATTGTCATCTTTAATTTTCACCTTTTTTTTTGCTCTCCACATCTGATCAATTACCATCTTGAAGGTCTTCTGCCTCCCAAATCCCTCCCAGTCTTGCTACCACTGTTGAATTTCACTCTTTTAGCGTCTCATGTACGTTCCAGGAGGATGAAGCAGACACTGTTATCTCGAGTTCACAAATGAGGAATCTGAAGCACAGACACTCACACGACTTGTTAAAAGTCAACACAGGAGCCAAGCTTTGAAATGTGGAGTTGCTCTTCAAGCTTGTGGTCTTGAATTCCTTAAATACAGAAATCACATTCATTAGCTGTCAAAAAATCCAAGATTCCCCCCGCCCCCACACTGGTACAGTTTTACCAAAGAGTTCTAATCAAAGGGAAAATTTTAGCATAAAATAAATAATTAAAATGAGTCATATTCAACTATTTCATTTAGTAAACAAAAAATATGCGTATCCACTTATTGTCTTACCATGTTATTCCTTTGTACCTCTACCTCTTATTCCCTGAAGTTCCCCACAAAACTCCACAAAATTCTTTTTACTCTTCAAGCTTCTGAAAATACATTTTCTGAGATTTCATAACTCTGTTTTTTTTAGGGTTTTGATCCTTCATTGCTCATTATCTAGAACTTAAACCACAAAGGAGAGATTATAGATGGCCAACAAATCAGTATTCCTTCCCCCAGTGGAGGAGTAATGTGGGGGAGGTGGGAGGAAGACTAAACACTCATAGTTTTTCTTTTGATTACTTTTTAATCTTTTTAATTTTTTAATATTTTAAAATTTACATTATAGTATACAATTGATTTAACTAAATTAAAAGTCACAAATCAAATGTGGATAGCTTGATTAATTATTATGTAACCCAGTTCAAAGACAGAACTCCTAGAAAGCTTCTGCCCACCCTCCTAGTCAGTGCTAACTACTCTCCCATCAAACACCAACCCCTATCATCATAGATTAATTTGTGCTCAAACTTTATGTGCTCTTTTGTGTCTGGCTTGCTCAACATTATGTCTATGTAGCAGAACTTTGTTCTTTTTCATTGTTGTATAGTATTCATTAATGAATATTCTGCAGTTTATCCATCCTACTCATGATAGACATTTAAGTTGTTTCTAGTGTGTGATTATTATGGATACAGCTGCTCTGAGTATTTGCACATGGACAAAAGCTCTCATTTCTGTTGAATATACCCTGAAATGAAGTTGTAGATCATTGGGTAAAGTTTGTGTAACATTAATAGATGTTGGCGAACAAAAATTTAATAATTTCTTTTATTCCTTTCTCATCTGAATCTGTTGCACCTGGTGCAGATTCTCTTTCTTGGTAAGCACCTAAGAAAATGAGTTGCTGTTGAATGTGGACATTCAGGGCAATATTCTCATTAATTAACACATGTGTACAAATGTATTAGTTGTAATACTACACTTTGTTTATATAGATCATCGATCCCTTTGTTGAAGTTGAAATTATTGGATTGCCAGTAGATTGCTGTAAAGATCAAACCCATGTGGTGGATGACAATGGTAAGATGATGCTCTGTGTTCGCTTCAAATCAGTATGCTTTAGAAATGTAATTTACACTGAAAAAGAAAAATGTGTCTACATGGAAGAGAAATTCCTAAGGTCCGTAACTACCATCTGAGTTTATGTTAAGATCTATTTGACATATATAACTAAGTGGGATTGATACATGATATGTTTTGATGGACGAAGGCTCTCAAGACTTTTAAAGCAAATTTTTTCCTAGTAAAAAGAATGAATGCTGTTTAATAGGGATGTGTTAAAACTCTGCTTAGGAAAATGCCTCCATTATATTTTTATATTATGTTTTCATTATATGAGTTGCCTCAAAACTCTTATTTGTGAAGCCTACGTTTGGATGATTTCTCATTTTTTCTTGAGCATGTAAAACTCTAAAGGCAAGTGCAGCATGCTCTGGTTAGAGCATTCTTGTATTTCGGTTGTGTGTAAAGAAGGCTTTCTTTATCAACCTTCATGTCTTTTTCTTAGTAATCTTCTAAAATGTGTTTGTTCATGCATTGGATAAACATTTTTGTATACCTGTTTTTCTCAATACCTAGTCATTAATACTCTCAAGTAAATCTAAACCACAGTTCTCAAAATATTTGAGAAATTAGAGATTCATTGACCCTAAGAGGAGTTATTCTAAGTGCTATTTTAAGGAAAGGAATTTGGGGGTCCAAGAGTAGTACAGACCTGTTACTGAGAAAATAACATGCTTAAAGAAAGCAAACTTCTTATATTATATTTTCCTACCAGTGTTCAAATAGATTTTTTTTTCCCTTAAAATAATAGAGAGGTCAACTCTATTCAGCACTAAGTCAACAAAAAGACAATTTCTTCTTTTGTTCATTTTGATTATTTTCGTTCCGCAATCATCTCATATATAGGGTTAAATGCTGATGCCCCATGAATCCATACATTTAATAAAACTTATTTTCATTTTTAGAAAGAAAAATCTTATAGAATATTTAAATTTTTATCAATTTAAATAATTGTTTTATCTGAAGAATTTTACCAAGAAATAAATGTTTCGGCTTTTAGAATTTGAATCTAATTAATACCTTTCTGTTTATTTTCAGTAGTTATGAAAATATATCATCTTTCATGTATTAAGATCTTGCTTCATGAGAAGTCACTGGAAATTAATAGCGTATAGTCTAACTAGGCTAATTATGTGACCTTAGGCACATTATTTTCTTTAAACATCAATTTTCTCAACTATGAAATGAGTTATATAATACTTATATTTCCTACTTTAAAAAATGAGCATGTGTTACTTGTGTAATTTTTAAAAGCTTATATAATTTTAAAAGTCAGTAATATACAATTTTTTTAATTAGAAAAAATGAAAACAAAACTGGCTCTGTCACTTTTAGAGGACTGCTATAAGAATTAGCATTGAAATATGCACAGCACCTTATAAAATGTTTGCTGGTGATTATTACAGCAGCACAGTCTTTGGTGGGAGAGAAGTATAATTCTATTGGCAGGGAATGTGGTAGGAATATTCTTTATCAGATGTGTTTGCTAAAACATTCTTAGATCACTGCTCTTTTATTGTCTAAAAGAGCTTTCTCTACAATGCAATTTGGCATCAAAGATTATTAGCATTGATGTAATCATTTACAGGCAATTTTCTCAGCAATTATTTTCCAGCGATGTGGTAAATTCCAAGGTTTTTTGTTTTGTTTTGTTTTGTTTTTTTCGGTAAGTCGTCCTGGAGTGGCTTGGTTATCTGCACGAGTTTAATAACGATTGCGAGCAATCTTCACTATCTGCTTTGCAGATGTTGCAGCCACTTCATTTTTAGCCAAGCCCTTTGCTTTTCTGATCTTTCTTTTCCTATTTCTCGGAGGATTTAACCCTATGTGGGAAGAAACCCTGACATTTACAGTACACATGCCAGAAATAGCTTTGGTTCGGTTCCTTGTGTGGGATCACGATCCTATTGGGCGAGACTTCGTTGGGCAAAGAACTGTGACCTTCAGCAGCTTACTGCCTGGTAGGTATAGGTTGGCTTTTTCTCTCTAGACTGACCATTTCATTTTCTTTGGAAGATTTAATATATGATATGTGATATACACAATATATAATAATTATGATATATAAAATGTGTTACATGGTAACGTGAGTGTTAACATACATTGCAAAATGTAGAGAACTATAGTAAAGACAGAAACTTAATTTGCTTGCACCTGTGAGAAAGTCAAATGCAAGTTCAACTGAAAGGAAACTACTTTCTCTACTTTTCTCAGGCTACCGGCATGTCTATCTGGAAGGACTGACAGAAGCATCCATATTTGTCCACATAACAATCAATGAAATCTATGGGAAGGTAAGAAAGATTACAGGGTTTAAAGCCACGTGCGACAATAATATGGTTCTTAAAAAAGTTATTTATTGACTAATTACTTCAAAGGACTGTACATCTTGACAAGCTGTTCTTTAGCAGGAAGGAAACTTTGGGGAGCCCGGTGAGGCGAGCCTAGTGTGCTATCCTGCCCTCAAGTCCCAATCCGCATGTGCTCATTCTACTCTTCAAGGGTGTGTCCTTATTCTTTCCACCCAGACTGTCTCTCTGGGGTTATGAGAAAACTATTCTCTAAGATGATTATTTTGTTTGGCTAAAACATTAAAGATATAGTTAAACATTGAATTTTATTTTAATTCTTAAAAAGAAGTCTCAGCTGGCTGCAGTGGGAAATATAGTATCTCAGATATTCGATGAATTAATTACTTGTACTAACCAAGCTGTAATCCTACCCAGTTCTAGGCAGGGCGCTTTCATTTGTTGCCATTGTATTTAACCCCAAACCTAAAACTTGTGAATGAATTTAAATCTATCACAAGACTTAAAAGAAAGAGATCACAAAAATGTTATTCTAGTTCTCTCCTGATGCTGCCCTCTGCACTGTAGAACTTACTTGCGGTTTATAAATCAGTAGGCTGTCTTCTGGTCATGCCAAGTAATTGGGGACTTGGCCACTGGAATGAATTTTTAGGACCAGATGTGTGTTGGAGGGACTGTGAGAGCATTGAATAAGGCCCAGGAATGATCCATGCTCTTCTCCAGAAAGCCTGTATAGCCTAGAACTTCTCCGGCAGAGGCATGTATGTTCTCTGTGCCTCAGCTTCCTCATCTGCAAATGTGGGGTAAAAATAGTACCTACCTCAAAGTACATAAAAAAATGTTATCTTTGGAAATCTGTCTGGCCCATAGTAAATGCTCAAAAATGTTGGCTAATGATATTGTTGTGACTAGAAGCCAATTGCTAGGGAATGGACCAATTCAGCCTAAATTGGGGGTAAACGTTTCTCACAGTTGCTGAAGGTGGGGTGGGGTGCTAAGGATCCTAATTTCTAAGAGTGATGAAGCTTTATTCCACGACTTGCTATGCCTAGTCCTGGGTTTCTGTTTGTGCTGCTTGTTGAGATCTTTCTTCTGGCCTTAAATGCTCATAAATGTAAATAATTGAAAAGCGATTCTTGAATTTCAAGGAAGCCAGGTTAACTAAGTCATTTCTCTAGCATTTGTCATGCTTGAGGGAAACAATAAAATTCAGAAGTTGTTTAAAACTTGATCCAGAAATAAATTTAAAATATGAAAAAGAAAGTGTTCCATGGACTTCTCTCTCAAATGTCCTCTTATAAGTCATGTTATTTATTACTTTCAAGGTCTGTGTGGGTTGGGATGCATAAGCCACAAAGTAGTGGTGGGGGAGTTGAGCAATGAATGGATCTGTGGCTAAAAACTAAAAAAATCACCCAAACTGAAAGAAATGATTTTTAGAACATAAGCGTTTTTCTTTTCTTGCTTTTGCTGTACCACCTTCTTAAATGAGCCCAAATTGTGTTTTGTTTTTTCACTTGCAGTGGAGCCCTTTAATACTCAACCCCAGTTATACTATATTGCACTTTCTAGGAGCTACAAAGGTAGTTTCTCAGCGTGGTGCTTTGTTCTTGCTGGCATATTTTGTTTTAAATGGTTACGGCAGCATGCTATCTCATGTCATTCCATTTTTCTGCTTACCACCTTGAAACATGCATCTGTTGCTTTAAGGCAGCCGAAGTTCCTAACAGTCTATTAACTACAGAAAGTTTTCCTACCACCTTGTCATCTCTGGGTAGGAAACTTCTGGGAAAACTTGGTTGTGAAAATTGGAAGGCTGCCTTCCTCACAAAGTAAGATTGAGAAGAAGTGCATGACATTGTGCTAACATGTTGTGAGCTGCTGCTTTCTTGGTCTGAATATAATCCAATGGCTGTAAAATTTCATTTTGTATCCATTGTTCATGGAGCTCTCATTTAAAAGGCAAGTCATTGACATAGTGGCATTTGTTTAACTTGTGGTTGATCCTTTTGTATCTTTAGAACAGACAGCTCCAAGGTCTGAAGGGACTGTTCAATAAGAATCCCAGGCACGGTTCTTCAGAAAACAATCCCCATTATGTTCGGAAAAGGTCAATTGGAGACAAAATTCTGCGACGCACAGTCAGCGCTCCAGCCAAAGGCAGGAAAAAGAGCAAAATGGGCTTCCAAGAAATGGTAGAGATAAAGGATTCTGTGTCTGAGGCTGCGAGAGATCAAGATGGTGTCCTGAGGAGGACCACACGGAGTCTGCAAGTGCGCCCTGTCTCTATGCCTGTTGACAAAAGTTTTCTGGGGGCTTTGTCACTGCCTATCTCCGAAACAGCAAAAGTCACTGAAGGAAAAGATAACTCTCTGGGTAAGCTGCTTTCAGTTTCTCTAGAAACAAATCCCTATAAGCTGCATTTTGGTCTCTGATTATCATTATGACATGGTCGACATTTTGTAGTCAAAGTAAAACATACCGAAAAATAAATAATAATTAATGTTATCTTTTAGACCAGATTTTAAACTTTGAGGGGAGAGTGGTAAAGTGCTGTTTCCTAGTCACCTAAAGCCTTAAAATCACATTGACATCTGAAATGGACAAGGAGGGGTAAGAGGAACCATCAGGTGTGATGGCACTGAGGTATGCTAGAGGGAGGGGGAGGTGAAACCTGCAAAATATGAGCAGATATCTTGGTTTTCTAACCGGGTACCACATTTACTGATTGTTCTGAGGTTGAGCAGAATTATATTGATTTTTCTGAAGTCAATTATAGTCATATTTCTCTCCCTGCCATATAATACATTTCTGCGATTGGAAATGTTTATGGAGAAAGGAAAAGCCAGATGTTAAAAGCAAGCCACCGACTTTGCTTGAGAAATCTTTGCTTCCTCAAGAGGTAGCTTAGGCAATGTTTTCCTGTGGTCACATTTCCCCGATCACTGGATGTCGGCAGGGAAGGAAGCATGTCTGTGGCTCCTTTCCAGTTTTAGGTTCCTCAAGCACAGGGACCAGTCATCACCCATCTTTTTCCCTAATTTGAGCATAATGCTTCACTCATATCAAGAACTTGATCAAGAGTGATGCATGCTCTGCAGTGTGCCAAAGAACTCGACTTGTGTCGTGACTCCTCCTTCTCCTGTCTTATTCTAGGTAATTTAAGCACCAAAACAGTGTCCATTTGATGTCTCTGCAAGAAATATGTTTTAATTAAATCGGAATCATCTCAGACAAGTAGACTGTGATACTTGCTTATTTTAGCAAAATTCTCCTTTTAACATACAATCTAATTTCAATGATCTATTTTCTCACAAACACCATTTTATTTATATTGATTTTCATTGTAAGATATTCTAGGGAGACAAACCAATTTTTGAATGATTTGAAGAGAAAAAGGGAGTTTAAGTGTTTGAAATTTTGCTAAGAGCAATATTAGAAGAGATGAAATATGTGGTTTAAAAATTATTTCAAAACTCCATTTTGGGAGAAAATAAAGCTGTATTCAATAGAAATCGGTAATTATTCTATTATTGCCAAAATTAAGATGTTAATACCATAAGGTGAGTTAGAAAGCAATATTGAGGTGATTTTTCTTTCCTTCCTTTAAAAAACAAATATATAAGTTAGTCATTGATAGATAGACAGACAGACAGATAAAACTTGTGGTAAATATGGAGCAGTATATAACCATGGAATGATTCAAATTATAATGTAGAAAAAAATGTTAAGTGGAGAAAATGCTGAATACAAAATTCTATACATAGTTTCGTTCCTCTACAAAAACACAGTGGCTGTCTCTGAGTAATAACATCATAGGATATGTAAATTTTTTCCTTATAACTTTTGAGTTTATCAAAACTTTATGATGAATTTTTTAGTTAAGCAAATTTTTCTTTCTTGTATGTAATAACTGAAAATATTTAAGCACTATTAAAATAATCTGATCAAGAATACTCTAACACTTAGGACTGGCTGAGCCCTATTCTAAGCATGATAGGGGTACCCCAAATTACTGTGAATTGTGTTTTTATAAATTTCCTTACTGTGCTTGATATTTTACTGCCTCTTTTAGGGGAGAATGAGATATGAAATGCATATTAAAAACAAAAATATGATTAACAGAAAATTACGTATTAGCAATGGCATAGAATTGCCGACCAATTCTTGATTCTTACATTTTAGTCAAAAGATATAATTTTAGTACATTTATTGCACCTTCCAATTTGTTTTAGAAGTTAATTAAATTAGATCTTTTGCCAAACTGTTTTTTTTTTTAGTATGATTTGTGCTTTTACTAATATGTGCCTAACTTTGAAAGCTTAAGTATCTTGCTTACAGGTACCAAAATGCTTTGTTTAACAGAGCTGTCTTGTTCTGTTTTTATTGCCATGCTTCTGTGTAGTACAAATCTGAATAGGAAACAACTTAAGGTAATCTTCACTGTAAAAGTATGGTAACTCATTGACATTTTTTTGATAATGAATATTACATCCTTAACTGATGTAATAGATTTTCAAAGGGAAGCTTCAGTGAAATTTTTATAAGTATATTTCACCATTTATTCATCACACAGATACTTTGTTGCAAATCTATATAATCCATAATTATACTGTCACAATGTAACTGATTTACATTCTCCATTTGTCTGTCTGAAGACAAACATGAGTGTTTGCAGCTCCTACGTAAACCTAAATGTCACCTAAAATGTTGTTTGTTTCATTCAGCAGAAGATAAAGATGGCAGCAGAAATGAGGAGGCAAATATAAAAGACCAGCATTTTCCAAATTTCAATGAAAGGATACCCTCTTCCTCTAGTGCTCTTCTCCACGAAGACTTCAGCCAAAAGGACTTTGCTGTTTCTACAGCCAACATGTCAATCATTGAGCAGTTGGGAGTGCCAGGTCCTAAGGGTGGGAGAACCAAATCAAACATGTCAGGCGATTGCCCGGAACACCACTGCCCCAATAAATCCCTCTCACCAAGTCAGCATTTGACTCTTAATCCTGCAGTTAACCTAACATATGATCTGTCTGGTATGAAAACCAAGGAAAACAGGAATGCTGTTGGCTTCGTGGAAGGGAAAAGCACATTGTCAGGAGGCATCTTTTCTCAAAGCAATCTGGAGATTAAGAACTTGGAAGGCAATTGTGGTAAGAGCAGGGCTGCAACATCCTTTTCTTTGTCAGATGTCTCTATGCTCTGTTCTGACATACCTGACGTACATTCTATGGAGATTCTGCAGGATAGTGAAATTTCCCATCTTATTGACAATGTCACTTTAACCAATGAGGATGATCCAGGCAGCTCTATCTCAGCACTGATTGGCCAGTTTGGTGAGACCAGTGATCAGGCTAACCTCACAGTTGCTTCTCATCTTCATAGCACCAGTGTAATGTCAGGCCATCCTCCCTTACCCATTATGGACATAAAAACGCCTTTCAAGCATGGCTTCTCCAAAGGAAAACCCAAGTCCTTCTTACTATGCTCATCTCCTGAGCCAATTGCGTCCTCGAGTCCTGAGACCTCTGAACGCTCAACACATACAGTTGTTTGTGAAACTACCTGCACTCCCGCTGTCTTTAAAACCAAACCAGATGATGACCTTTCTGATAAGGCCAAGATGGCAGCCATGGAAAGTAATCTGCCTCATTTCTCTAATACTTCTCGCTACTGGGTACCCAAAAGTCCCACTGGAAAAGATTGGGAAATACTGAAGAACCACAGCCCTGACTCTTCCACTGACTTGACACTGGGAGGTGTAATAGCTGACCCCACTCTCTGTTTAAATTCTGGGGAGAGCAGTCTCGTGGAAATGGATGGAGACTCAGAAAATCTGTCTGTAACAACCTATGAATATATGAGAGAGGGCACAAGTCACGTTGCATCTCCTTCAAAACTGAAGTACAGTCAGGATGTGATGGAACGTATTCAAAGAGGCTTGAGAAATGGCTACTATAAAGAGACTCTCCACCCTTCTGTCTCTGAAATATTCAACAATGTTCAAGATGTCAAAAATCAGAGTATTCCTTGTCTAGCTCATCAGGGTGCTGGTTTTATGCATAAGCATTTCTCAAATTCAGATGCAAAAATGAATCAAACCTGCGTGCCCTGGTCTTGTGCTCAAGACTTGCATGCCCCTGCACCCAGGCAGTCCCCACACCCTCCTCTGCCTGCTCTGAAGCTGCCCAGTCCTTGCAAATCCAAAAGTCTCGGAGACTTAACATCAGAGGACATCGCCTGCAATTTTGAAAGCAAGTACCAGTGTATCAGTAAGAGTTTTGTTACAACCGGCGTCAGAGACAGGAAAGCTGTGACTATGAAGACAAAGTCGTTAGAACCTATGGATGGCCTGACCGAGCAGCTGCGGAAGCTTGTGTCCTTCGACCAGGAAGACGGTTGCCAAATGCTGTATTCAAAGCAGGATGCCAGTCAGTTCCCCAGGGCACTGGTCAGAAAGTTGTCATCCAGAAGTCAGAGCAGAGTGCGCAATATTGCCAGTCGTGCCAAGGAAAAGCAGGAAGCCAACAAGCAAAAAGGTGGGAACCCCGGCAATGTGGGAGGAGTGATTCTTCGAAACAAACCCTCAGCGCCCCCGTCCACAGGAAACCGGCACTCCACCGGCTCCTACATTGCGGGCTACCTGAGCAGCGCCAACGACGACGGCGAGGAGGGCCGCGGCATCCCCGAGGGCGCATGCGCAGCCCTGCGCGCTGGCCACGCCGACCAGTTTTGTTCGGATAATTCCGTTTTGCAGACAGAGCCAGGCAGTGATGATAAACCAGAAATTTATTTTCTTTTGAGACTGTGAATTACATAAAGCTGCATTTTCAATGTTTACAAGGTATTCTGTAGAATTGTCAGAGCTTCCAGTTTTTAGTAAATATGGTCCTTGGCTTTGAAATGATTTTAACATGTATTTTTAAACTTGTATTTTGGTCTCCCTTTGACTCCATGTGTTTGTCCTGTTTATGCGTTTGTATACCGATTTCGGTGACATTTCCCATGTGCCTATAATCTTTCTTCCCTGAGGTGTAAACTCTACCGGTATGAAATATGTGCATGCCCTAGATGTGAAACTTCTCAGCAGCTTGGGTTATATTGTAAATTTGTTTCACTCAGATCCTCTTTACTCTGTGTCCTCAGATCATAGTCACAAATGTTGTCATTTTTACTCTCTAACTCTTGAGTTAATTAAGAGACTTTTCAAAGGACAAAGGGATGAATTCATTATTTTAAAGCCATTATCATCTTTTCTATTTTTCCTTCTTTGTTGAGAAACCAGATGCATTTTTATACCTCAGTTAAAAGAAGATTAACATAGTTACCTTATCTTTTAGGATCTCTGCCCCACCCAGAATGAGAGTTTAAAGGAGATTGGTAGCTGCTTCCCCCGGACCCTTTCATTTTAGAGTAGGCCGTGAGAGCCCGAGGAATAAAGCAAACTTCTGTATATAAGAACAAGATTGTTTTACATAAATTTTGTTACATATTTTTGCTAAAGGCTTTGTATGTAACAAGAACACAGTTGCCAAGCTATTTGCTGTACTTTTGAATTTTCTGATTAAATTATAGGCTACAAATAATGGCTTTCAGAATGAGGGACTTCCATCAGATGCTAACAATCATAGTAGCAGAAATTGAAAATTTTCAGTAGCAGAAATTGAAAACTTCCCCTAAAGCTTTCAAGAAAAAAAAAAAATTTTTTTCTCATAATCAAATGAATAGATAATTAGAAGAAACCTTTTTTTTTTTTTTTCCTTCAGGGAGCCAAGTAACTATATTTTAGTACCAACATACATTATTTTCACTGTGAATCCATTTTTTATTGCATGTTCAGATGTCCCTCTTTGCTTTTTTGTAACATTAACTGCAATGATGTTCTTGAAATTCACAAAAATATAATTAAAGCAGATTTTTAAATACTTGGTGAGGTTCTTTCAATCAAAGTTCATATGATGACCGTTGAGTAAGTAATCCAGAGCCCTTGGAAATATTTTTCGTTTCATCACAGCAGAAAGGATAAGTTTTACAGGGGACAATTTTAAGCAGCAATTCATGTCTCTGAGTGTTTTCATCATGCTTTAAAAGCCGTATTGGTAAGGTGAGTTGAAAAGAAATAAAATACAATGAGTTTCTTTGTATTTGGGGTTGATATTGCTAGTTTAAAAATATTCGTTCCCAAATCCTGCCTTGGAGAGAGAGGAGATAGGGAAAGGGAGGCAGGATGCTGTATTTGGTACATCAGACTACCTGAAGCTTTGTTTTGCGGGGGAAGAGTGGGGAAGAAAGCGATCAGACCCTGGTTACCCTCATTCTCCAGCTCCGAACTTCCCCCAATACTGAGGGTCTTCCTTTCTTTGAGCAAGCCCTGGGATGCTGCTTGGCATAAGAATGCAATGGTGAAAAGAATAATTACCAATTTTGATCCCCTTAATGAACTTGAGACATTTTTGTCTTCTTGAGAGTTCTGAATCTACAAAGTTTTATCCTGAGACCTTGGCTTGTTTTTAAAGTATACTTATCTTAAAAGAGATTGACATGGAAAGATCTTTTCTAGAGGGACCATTTGAGATCTTGCTCCCTGGCATATGCCATCAGTTTGGCTCAAATAAACTCTTACAAAAATTTAAAAAAAAAAGAAAAGAAAAAATTGACACGATATAAAGTTATTGAAATTCACTTTCAAAGAGAGAATTTAGCTGCCTTCTGTAGTTTGACAAAATCTGTATCCTTAAATCCAGGAGTTTACATGTCAATCCTGTCTCTAAGTGATCTAGTAGTAACTTAAACATTTGATGCCAAGTGATGGGTTATCAGATCAACCCCCAGGTGCCCAAGTGTGTCTGTTGCCCATACATATAGTATTCCTCCACTGGTGGGACTTAGGAAGAGAAAACGACTTCAGAACTACAATTCAGGGATTGCCTAATAAGAAAGAGGAAGCAATAGATCTTAAATTCTACTACAACTTTCAGTGTTCAGGTTAAACTCCCAATCAGGGTTTCTTTCATTCGTTGGAAGAATGGATCAGGAACTTAGTCACAAGGAAATCACATAGTAAGTGAGATCTCTAGCCAGGTATTAACAGGACTATTTTTTTTCTTTTTTTTTTTCATGTTTGAGAGCTAATGAGTCCAGGAAGCCCACAGTATCTGCAAAGTCTGACTAGAGCAAGCCCTGTGGAGTTTCAAAGTTTTCTCATCTGACTCCTTTCTTAGAGGATAGATAGAATATACCAAGACTGAGCAGTTACAGGTGGCTGAGAGTTACCTGCCACAGTGGCAATGACCACAGAGGACAGAGTAAAGTTTCTTAATATAAATCTGATCAAGCCCACTTAAAAGGCTTTAATGGATCCCTATCACTTTTGGAAAAAGTTTTCATAGCCTTGCATACAAGATCTATGATTCGGTGCCCTTGTCTGTTTCTATAACCTGGTTTTCCTCTGTCTTAGAATGTTCTTTCCATCTTTGCCCACTACATTTTCCAAGATGTATCCTGGAAGATTCTTTCCTCTAGAGAGCCTTCTCCGATTGTCATCTCCTTTCCCCTGGTTGCACTGAACTCATCAAGAATTACACAATTCCATTTGGAGGTCTCCAATTCCACTTCGTTGTATCAATCTGCTCTCATGTCTGCCTCATCCACTAGACTTCCACCTCTCTGAGGGCAGTAATTATGCTTTGTGCCTTTCCCCTAGTTCAAGGCCTGGTACCAGTTTGCACTGAGTAACAGTTGATAATTGATGAAAAAGAGAACTTAGGCAAAATATGAGAGAAAACATTTGTCTAATGCCTGTTGTGTGCATGGAAGGAGGAGGAGGCACAGAATCTTGTTTCAAGTAGTTTGTATGGTGATGACTGAGTTTATCTGTTTCCTTTAATTCTCTCATTTCCCTATTTCTATCAAGCCCATCCTTTTCTCTCCTCCTTTAATTTAGTATCTATTTAGTCATGAAGCATTCTGCAATTTAAAAAGACTTTTATATATAGTGCATCACATTTGGTCCTTGCAAACTTTTGTGAAAAGATGAGATTACGATTATCTTCATTTCATAATTCTTAAAATGAACTCCAGTGAACCTATGATTTGCCCAAGGTCTTAGGGGCTGGGAAATAGTCAAGCAAGGTTAATCTATCTCCTTGGTCTTCTTTCCCTTATATACCACTGCCTTCCCTGAAGACTTTAATAAATATTTAGTTAGCATCTATTCTGGGCTAGCCATTCAGCTGGGTGTTAGGATTATGACAACAGGAACTTGTCTTTAGGCAGCCACAAGCTCGTAGAGATGCTGAGATACAATATGTTGGTTTTGTTCCAAATGTCTAAATAACTAGAACATATTACATATGGTAGTTGAAAATGTAAGAAAAGAGAATTAGCTATTACTGTACATATGATATCCATAAATGTCCCACATTTTAAAAATTTATAAACTTTATTTTTTAGAGCAGTTTTAGGTTTACGGCAAAATTGAGGAGAAGATACAAAGATATCTCATATGCCACTGTCACCCAGTCTCTCCCCTGACACACACACAAAGCTCTCCACTATCTACATCACCCGCTACAGTGGATATATTTATTACAATTGATGGATCTACCGACATATCATTATCACCCAAAGGCCATACTTTACAGTAGGGTTCACTCTTGGTGTTTACATTCTATGGGTTTTGACAAATGTATAAGATGTATCCATCGTTGTAGCGTCATACAGAATAGTTACTGCTCCCAAATCCTTTCTGCTCTGCCTATTCATCCCTATTCCCTCCTCTCCAGGCCCTGGAAACCACTTAAATTTTTATTGTCTCCACAGTTTTGCCTTTTTCCGGAATGTCTTATTCTTGAATTATACAGCCTTTCATATTGGCTTCTTTCACTTAGTAATATGCATTTAAATTTCCTTCATGTCTTTTCATGGCCTGATAGCTCATTTCTTTTTAGTGCTAAATAATATTGTTGTCTCATGTACCATTTATTTATTCATTCACCTACTGCAGGACATTTTAGTTGCTTCCAAGTTCTGGTAATTATGAATAAAGCTGCTATAAATATCTATGTGCAGGTTTTTGTATAGACATAAGTTTTCGGTTCATTTGGGTAAAGAGCACAGTTACTGGATGATATGGTAAGCATATGCTTAGTTTTACACGAATCTGCCAAACCGTCTTATAAAGTGGCTGTACCATTTTGCATTCAAACCAGCAATGAATGAGAGTTCTTGTTGCTTCACGTCCTCACCAGCATTGTTCTTTTCTTTCTCAATCGAAATACCCTGAGTTGATTTCCATAAAATAACTTGCTGGGATTTTGATTGAGATCGTGTTGAATCTATAGATACAGGTGGGAAGAACTGACATCTTGACAATATTGAGTCAGTCTAGCTTGTAATATCTCTCCATTTATTTTATTCTCCTTAGATCTTTCTCATCAAAGTTTTCCTCATAGATTTGTACATATTTTGTTAGATTTATACCTGAGTATTTTATTTTGGGGGTGCTAATATAAATGGCAATGTGTTTTTAATTTCAAATTCCACTAGTTTATTCCTAGTATAAGGAAAGTAATTGACTTCTGTATATTAACTTTGTATCCTGCAACCTTGCTATAATCACTTCTTAGTTCCAGGAGGGGTTTTTTTTTTTTTTTTTGGTCAATTCTTTTAGATTTTCTACATAGACAATCATGTCATCTACAAATAAAGCTAGTTTTATTTTTTGCCTTTTTAATCTGAATACCTTTTATTTTATTCCTTTTATTATTTCCTTTCCTTGTCTTCTTATGTTAGCTAGGACTTCCAGTATGA